CTTAAATTAAATAAGTCAGGTAAAACTTATTTAATTTAAGTCTGGTGTGAGGCACCGCACATTTTCACGTCAAGTTTGGATTTTATAAATCACAACCTTGGCGTAAAAAGTGGCGTACGCAAGTTTCTGGGCTCAAATTGGGCGTACGCCAGTTTTATAAATCTGACCCCTGGTCTGTGGGTTTCCTTTGACTTTGATCATCTACCGTACTGTAAAAGCTGCGCCGGTAAACCAGAAATGGATCCGCGCACAGAATTTGAGCGACCACAAGATTAATCACCARGCAGATTTATTAACAAGGGAATATTAAAAATGACACGAAACAACAACGTGCGGACGTTTCGTTCTTTTTTTCCCTCTCTCTAACGTAGAGGGGCGAGCAGCGGAGGGGCTGTGGTGTGTGTGTGTGTGTGTGTGTGTGCGCGCGCGCGCGCTTGATACGTCAGCGCAGCTGGAGAATTATTAGAGGGAATATTAAAAATGACACGAAACAGTAACTTTGTATAATTATTTTTAAAATATTTAACCGCCACAGAACCACTAAAGTGAGCTAATTCAGTTGTTTTGTTTGATACGAGGCAGCAGGCGTCTGTCCCATAATAAAAAGCTACGTCACGGTCCGGTTCAGCTCAGCTGCTCCACGCCTCTTTTGGATCAGCGCTGCAGGTTCATTATGAACACGTTTACGTGAGCGGGACCTGCCCGCCTTCACCTGTGGTCTTATGAATGACCTGGGGTGGCTTAAAGCCGGACTGGTCTGTGCGGTAATTGTGCGGATTTGACTTATGAAAGGGACTGATCATGTATTGCGTTCGGGTCCGCATGAGACCCCCACTCGGTCCGGATCCGGACCGAGGTCCGCCTATTAGTGACCTCTGACCTAGACGTTTACTGCATGCTCAAAACTACAGCAGACCTATGGGTCCACAAAGCACAATGAAGAGGCCACTGCATCCTAAATACACCTCTGAGGACCACCCCAAGATCACTCAACTGCAACGACCAGTTTTCCTGGAGTATTAAATGTTGAGGAGTTTTCCTCTAAAATAGTTACTAACCTGTTGTAGTTGAGGATAATTGAGCGTAGTTTAGTCAGGTTCTTCATTTCAGATGGTAAATCACTCAGCTGGTTATTCCTGAAACAAAAAGAAGAGCAATAAAGATGACCAGCAGTGCTGTTTTAAACATTCTGATGCTAGTTCTGTCAGTCTTAATGGCTTGATACTTATGTAAACATTTATTGTTAGCTGCAGAAAGTCAAACAATTCTATCTGTTCCTGTATGTGTGTGTGGACATGTTGTTGCTACATTATAGGGACCATTTTCAAACACAGCCTTGTGGTGACCAAATGCTCCTTATGGGGATCAACATCTGATCCTTTCAGATACAGATGCTGATTTTGGGTGGGGGGGGGTGTAGGTTTAGGGTCAGGTATGTAATGGGGTGGTTAGGTTTAGGTAAATGGGTCAGAGTTAGGCTATAGAAATGACTGAAAAATGAATGGAAGTCAATGCAAAATCCCCACGAGGATAGAAAAACCTATGTGTGTGTCTGTGAGTATTTGAGTGTGTTACCAAAATATCTTATGAACCACTTCATGAATTTATAAGTGTGTATCTGATGTCAATGTGTGGGTATACCTGAGGTTTTTCATGTGTGTGTACCTGAGGTTGATGTGTGTGTGTACCTGAGGTCGATGTGTGTGAGTTGTAGTAATTTGCAGATTTCAGAACAGCTGGTGAGTTTGTTGAAACCCAGATTGAGATCTGACAGTGATGATTGAAGATCCAGCAGTCTGAACACAGAATCAGTGTGGTTAGTTTTGTCAATCAAATTTATTAGAAAAACATTACTGTGTTGTAGAAATTGCTCTGTTAATATTTTGTGTACCTGGACGGTATTGACTTGAGCTGGTTTTTGCTGAAGTTGACACTGATTACTCCTTGATCTGCTGAAGCATTGAACAGCTCATCTGGAATAATCTCTGCCTGTTTGTCACTGAATATACAGAAAGAAATTCACACTGTAGCATTTTAACACCAATTATGGAACATCAATGTCTCTACTGATCTGTTTCATCTGATCTGTGGCCGCATGTTTTGGACACTCGGGTGAAGAGAGGAGCAGAGCTGTGAACTGACCACTACCTGGTGGTGAGTTGGCTCCGTTGGTGGGGGAGGATGTCAGTCAGACCTGGCAGACCCAAACGTATAGTGAGGGTCTGCTAGGAACGTCTGTCAGAGTCTCCCGTCGGACGGGCCTTCAACTCACACCTCCGAGGGAACTTCAAACACGTTCCGGGGGAGGTGGGGGACATTGAGTCAGAGTGGGCCATGTTCCGTGCCTCCATTGTCGAGGTGGCTTACCTGAGCTGTGGCTCTAAGGTTGTCTGTGCCTGTCGTGGCGGGAATCCTCAAACCCGCTGGTGGACATCGGCGGTGAGGGATGCTGTCAGGCTGAAGAAGGAGTCCTATCGGGTCTTTTTGGCCTGTGGGACTCTGGAAGCAGCCGATAAGTATCGGCAGTCCAAGCGGATTGTGGCTTGGGTGGTCACTGAGGAAAAAACTCGGGCGTGTGAGGAGTTCGGAGAGGCCATGGAAAAAGACTTCCGTATGGCTTTGAGGCGATTCTGGTCCACCATCCGGCGTCTCGGGTGGAAAGCGTTTCGCCACCAACACTATTTATGGTGGGGATGGTGCGCTGCTGACCTCAACTAGGGACGTTGTGGGTCGGTGGGCAGAATACTTCGAAGACCTCCTCAATCCTACCAACATGTCTTCCCATGAGGAAGTAGAGCCTGAGGACCCTGAGTCAGACTTTCCAATCTCTGGTGCCGAGGTCACTGAGGTGGTTAAAAAGCTCCTCGGTAGCAGGGTGCCTGGGGTGGATGAGATTCACCCGGAGTTCCTTAAGGCTCTGGATGTGGTGGGGTTGCATTGGTTGACGCGACTCTACAATATCGCGTGGACATCGGGGGCAGTTCCCCTGGATTGGCAGACCGGGGTGGTGGTCCCCCTATTTAAAAAGGGGGATAGCAGAGTGTGTTCCAACTATAGGGGGATCACACTTCTAAGCCTCCCTGGTACGGTCTATTCGGGGGTCCTGGAGAGGAGGGTCCATCGGATAGTTGAATCTTGGATTCAGGAAGAGCAGTGTGGTTTTTGTCCTGGTCGTGGTACAGCGGACCAGCTCTACACCCTTAGCAGGGTCCTGGAGGGTGCATGGGAGTTCGCCCAACTAGTCTACATGTTTTGTGGACTTGGAGAAGGCGTTCAACCATTTTCCTCTGGAACTCCTGTGGGGGGTACTCTGGGAGTATGGGGTACCAGGCCCATTGATACGGGCTGTTAGGTCCCTGTACGACCGGTGCCAGAGCTTGGTCTGCATTGCTGGTATTAAGTAGGACACGTTTCCGGTGAGAGTTGGACTCTGACAAAGCTGCTCTTTGTCACTGATTCTGTTCATAACTTTTATGGACAGAATTTCTAGGCACAGCCAAGGTGTTGAGGGGATTCTTTTTGGTGACCTTAGGATCACATCTCTGCATTTTGTGGATGATGTGGTCCTATTGGCTTCATCAGACCGTGATCTCCAGCTCTTACTGGAGCGATTCGCAGCTGAGTGAAGCGGCCGGGATGAGGATCAGTGCCTCCAAATCCGAGACCATGGTCTTGAGCTGGAAAACGGTAGAGTGCCGCCTCCGGGTCAGAGAGGAGGTCCTGCCCAAAGTGGAGGAGTTTAAGTATCTTGGGGTCTTGTTGACGAATGAGGGGAGAATGGAGGTGGAGATCGACAGACGGATTGGTGCTGCGTCTGCAGTGATGCGGGCGCTGTACCAGTCTGTCGTGGTGAAACGAGAGCTGAGCCAGAAGGCAAAGCTCTCAATTTACCGGTTGGTCTATGTTCCTACCCTCATCTATGGTCATGAGCTTTGTGTAGTGACCGAAAGAACGAGATTGCGGATCCAAGCGGCTGAAATGAGTTTCCTCCACAGGGTGTCTGGGCTCTCCCTTAGAGATAGAGCGAGAAGCTCAGTGACATCTGGGAGGGTCTTAAGCCGAGTTCCCACCAAGTGCGTTTTGAGCAGCAAAAATGCGCCCAATGCCTCAAGTTGGACGCACTAAAACAAGTTCGGTGTGAACGCAGCAGCAGACTAGACGCGCGTCTGAAGAAGGAGGAGCATCTTGGTTTTTTTCTGGTCTGCCTTTAATGACGGGTGAAATAAAAACAAAATAAATAAAATGGCTTTGTTTTATTTACTAAAGAGCAAGCGAACGTTGCGCACACCAGATAATTAATTCACCAGATAATTTAGAGGCGGTTTGTTCCTTAGTTTCGCCACTCCAGGAGCTGCAAGCTGACAGACTTTTTTTTGTTGTCCCGAGCTCAGTTAACACCGCAGTCAGTTTAACGAGCTGCTGACACACATCGGTGCTGATATCTCCAGCCAGAACATCAACTGCATATGGTCGATTTCAGCTAAAGAACTCCTGTCCGTCTGTGTCAGGTTCAGGAAACCGTCACGTGGAAAAATTATTCTCTCTGATTGGTTGCTGCTGCTGCGCGTCGAGCAGCGGCTACTTTGGACGCTTCGCATGCATGACAAATGCTCTGCCGAATCCTACCGCTAACTTGTGCGCTGCCCTAAACTGGCAAAACATGCCGCGCTACTCCTAGATGTGCGTCCACCATAGACTTTGCATGTAAACTGGCTGCTTTGGCTGCTCAACGCGTCTGGTGTGAACCCGGCTTCAGAGTAGAGCCGCTGCTCCTCCATGTCGAGAGGAGCCAGTTGAGGTGACTCGGGCATCTGGTAAGGATGCCTCCTGGATGCCTCCCTGGTGAGGTGTTCCGGGCACGTCCTACTAGGAGGAGGCCCAGAGGAAGACTCAGGACACGCTGGAGGGACTATGTCTCTCGGCTGGCCTGGGAATGCCTTGGGATTCACCCAGAGGAGCTGGCCCAAGTGTCTGGGAAGAGGGAAGTCTGGGTCTCTCTGCTTAGGCTGCTGCCCCTGTGACCCGACCCAGGATAAGCGGAAGAAAACGGACGGACAGTAAAACAAATTACCAGTGGTGCAACGGTACAAAAAAGTACCATGAAAACTTTAATTTAAAACTGAGTTTTTTTATTTTTTAGTTGAGTTTTTCACATCCTACTAAGTTAATCAACCAAAGGATCATATCCAATGCTCCTGTGTTGAGTTTACTATTAAAAGACCACCACCATAAAGGTCCTACACCACGAGGAAAACACAAATCTACATGTGAGCATTACTAACCTGTAGCCCAACACCTTCAGAGTTTTGATGTTATGTGCATTGACTCTAGCCTGGGAAGGTAAAGTCATGGCCGTTTGCTCTTCATCTGCCTTCTCAGGCTCCTCTACAATCAAAACAGATCAAATCCAAAACACAAACTTTCAATATTATTTAGTCCACAATATATACAGTTATGTTCAGACATTCCCATCCTCTAGGTGTTGGCATAAATGTCCAATTTATTTCAGACTATAAGTAAAAGTATAGATGTGCAGAAGGCTGAGAACGCTGAGAAGAATCAACAGGTAAACAATGGAAAGTGGACAACATGGCAGCTCTTCAACAAGCAGAACCAGAGGAGACAGTCCTGCTCTCCCAACACAACTTAACTCACACAGCACAGACAGTGAAGGAACCAAAGTGGTGTTTGTAAGCAAACACTTGTGTCTTCACCAGCACTGACTCAGAATAGAATGTGCACATGCATAATGAAACACAAAAAGATGAATTTACCTTTAATTCTTCCTCTGAGGTATTTTAGAAGGTCACCGGTCCCTTTCTGTGGTGAAGACAACAGGACAGGTTAGTAAAGATTTTCTAATCAACTACAAATTCCTCAAACATATGTTTATCACTGGCTGCCTTTCATGTCAGTGTTTCAAACTGAGATCATCTTATGAGGATAAATAGAGTCATTTGGGTCAAACCTTTATGTGTGATCTTGAGATGTCGCACTTAGAAGAAACCAGTTAACAATGTTCAGCTGTGCACCACAGGTTTTATACAGTCAGAATGTTGTTCCTTGTTTGTAATTTTGAACTCACAGACAGAAGATCTCTCCTGATTCCTCTCAGAGGGTTTCCCTCCAGCAGCATCACCTTCAGGTTGGGCAGCAGGCTGAGGGAAGCTGGAAGCCTGGCAGACAAACATCCTCATTCAGCAGCTGAACACCTGGTGAAAACCTGCTAAAAATGATGGCTGAACATTTTAAACTCAACTGTGTGGAACAAAAAAAATCCTGATCTTCTCTGAGTTTCAGCCTAGTTTTCTGGACGACCAAAAGCAACTGATCAGATGATACACAACATAAAGCAAGGCCATTTAGACATTTATAAGCAACATTCGATTTTTGAATCAATTTTGTGGCCAATAAAGGGAGGACAGAACTGAACAAAGCATGAAGCAGTATTTTGAACAACTTTGAACATTACATGACGGCTTTGCTGTAAATGAGAAATAATCATCTGCAGCACAAACACAGCGTGTAATCTCTGATTAATGTTAATAAACATGGTTTTCAAAAGGTTGTCCACATGAGAACACAAGGGTGGTGTTTCAGGATTTTTCCACTTTGGAAACCAGTTTCTAAAACTACTGCTCTTAAAACTTTTCCATGTGGACACATATCTATTTGCTCTCTCTCTCTCTCAAATTTTCTTGCTTGCTCTTTCAAATAATTTTGAGACTAATTTATCTTCATAGAACACAAAGCTGAAAGAATAAAAAGCTTTACACAACAGGCTCTTGTGTGGACAGACGTAACAAGCACCAGGAGCATTCAGGATCTGTTTGTATGAATCCAGTGTGAAGGAGGCCTACTGTACAAATGATTTACTCCTGACTGAGTGTGGTGTATAAAGACGTACACGCTGATGTCGTTGTTGGTCAGGTCGAGGCGTGTCAGTTCTGGCAGCACAGGGATTTGTTCTGGAAGGGTTCTGATCTTATTGTCTCTCAGTTCTAGAAGAGAAATGACTGTAAAGCTGGCCAGCTGCTCAGCCTCCAGCAGCTCGATTTGGTTGTTCCCAACATACAGCTCCTACACACACACACATGCACACACTTGTTGTCAGTTTTATTACAGAAATATGTAGAATGACTGCATTACTATCAGTGTTACAACACAAATGAATGAAATGAATGAAAGTTTCTTACTTTAAGTGCGGGAGCTGGGAGGGGGGGCAGTCGGGACAGCTTGTTGTGTCGCAGATAAAGCTGCTGCAGAGAAACCATCCCTGATAGGCTGGCAGGAATGTCTGACAGCTGGTTACTGCTGAGGTCCAGAAGTTTAACCTCTGATGGAAAACAACAAAGAAAGTGTTGGTCAGTCTCTCTCTCAGTCTTCAACACACCATTATTCCCTTGTCTTTGACTCGGAGTTGGTTCAAAAACCTCACTGTGTATTATAGCTCTGTTCTTTTCAGCTGTTTGCTGTAGTTTCAAAATGTTTTACATGTTTAAACTCATGTAATTTACTTTATTTTCTCAATATGTCTGTTTTATTCATAAAGTACTTAAAACAGCACAAGGGTGCTGAATCCTGTTTTTTTTGTTTGTTTGTTTGTTTGTTTGTTTTTACTAAAGTGAAAGCAAACCAGTGTGTTTAGTCTGAGGCGAGGCGCTGGAGGTGCAGCAGAAAGGACCGGTGTGGGTGCTTCATCTGGGTTTAGATGCAGAGCAGTTCTATGTCTCCAAGACCACAGAGTGACAGAGACAACATGATGATGAGTGAATTAAGCAAAGAAGCTGAAGCATCACTGCTGCTGCAGCCTGTATTTGTTTCCTGATGCATCTCAGTAATCCAGGTAAAAAAATCAAAAAGAAAAAAATTGTATAGGTCTTCTGGACGGGTTCTTCTCTAATGAAACGTTTCGTCTCTCCTCCAAGAGACTTCTTCAGTCTGAGAGTTTCAGGCAAAATTCAGGCTTTTAAGCACTGCCTCCATGTGACTGATACTCACATCACATGGCTATCGTTGACACCTAATTAACACCTACTGTTAACAGGGGGTGGAGTGATACTGGCAATAGCAGCACTGTAGGAAGGGGACAACAGAAAACGGAGGCCTCCACCTCTGTTTAATGATGGACGGTCTTTCTTCACAAAAATGGCTTCTTTTACTCCTCTCTCAAACCAACTTTCCTCTCTATCAAGAATGAGAACATCCTCATCTCTGAAAGAGTGTCCGCTGGCCTGTAAATGAGTGAAAACTGCAGAGTTCTGGCCATTAGATGTAGCTCGTCTGTGTTGGGACATTCTTTTGAACAGTGGCTGCTTTGTTTCCCCGATGTATAACTGGTCGCAGTCCTCCTGGCACTTAACAGCATATACAACATTGCTCTGTTTGTGCCGGGGCACCGGATCTTTGGGGTGAACCAGCCTTTGCCGTAATGTGTTTTGGGGTTTGAAAGCTACTGGGACATGTTTAGAAAATAAACGTCTCAGTTTCTCCAAAGCACCTGCAACATATGCCCCTCTATTTGTTATTTTGTCTTCAGTGAAACTAACTGCACATGTTTAAACATGGCACTCACCTTTTGATAAAGCTCCTGATAAAAACAGTTCCTAGCTCTGGTCTAGCACAGAACTGGTGCTGAGTTAGAACATTTTTTTTGGTCACAGAACCAGAAATTGCAGTGCTGGAAACAGACGCAGCTTCTGATAAGTGAACTCTGAGCTCTAAGAAAGATTGAAGGCCGCTTGGTGTAAAAAGAAAAAAAAATGGAGGAACTTGTGTCTGATTCTTCAAACTGAGTGATCATTCAGACCACTGTCTAATGCAGTGTTTTTCAACCCTGGTCCTCAAGGCACACCGTCCTGCATGTTTTAGATGTTTCCCTGCTTTATCACAACTGTTTTCAGTTGATAACTGATTAACAGGCTTTTGTTGAACTGCAATCATCTGAAAACACTGGTCTAATGCAGGTAAGATGCTGACTGCTGATAGCTCCAAGAAAACACCACTTCAAAAACTCTGCTTCATCTATTTCACCATGTTTGAGGAAGAAGATATCCTGTTATCCTTGAAACCAAAAAAACAGACCATTCTGTAAACTTTGTGGCCTTCTAAAGATTCACAACCATATTAAATATAGATTTCTACTTCTCATCTCAGCTCTGACAGATGACGACCTATTATTGTCCTATTAAGTGTTTAGAGTTGATCCCAGTCTGCTGGTTTTTGCATTTTGAAACCAGAATGCGATAACTAAACTGTACTGTTCCTGTTATATTAAACTCTGGCACACTGGTTTAAAATGTATAAATTCATGATTATCTAGTTCAGCGTCTGTGAATAAGATGGGTTTGAGCAGAGAAAAGATCAGGCTGACAGCACTTTCATATGAGTTTGTGTTAAAGAAGGTTGAATTAAACTTCGGCTCTTACAAAGTGTTGCACATTATAAATACATACAGCTTGTTTAAACATTTGTTTCTGTGCTTTATGTGCCGTGGCATCCTTACCTGTAAGGTGTGACAGGCTGTCAGGCAGAGAGGGCAGCTTATTCTGACAGAGGCTCAACTTCTGCAGCTTTGTGAGGCAGCCGATACTGGAGGGCAAACCCAGCAGGTGATTGTTGGACACATCCTTTTAATAACCCCAGAAAACAGGATACCTCCGTCAGCCAATCACAACACAGGAACGTAATGATTGTAAACACAATACAAAAATTATTAGGGATGCTGGAAATGTTTTCTGGCAGCTGGCTCTGATATCTGTAGCTACAGCTCCTTTGTTTTAACCTCTGAGACAGACGCCTGATTTCTGCTGTCAGTAAAGCTGCCCAGCTCTGATTTTACCAGCTCTGTAAGGCTCTGCAGCTGACCCAGCTCCTCGGGCAGGCTCTCCAGAAGGTTCTGCTGCAACGTGAGGCAACGGAGGTTCTTCAGAGAGAACACCTCCACAGGAAGTGATGACAGCTGGTTATGGCTGGTCAAAAAAAAAAAACACACAAAGAAAACGCCATTTAAAACAGGGCTCTGTTTGGTTTTGAGTTGAGACGTTTTCCTGTTGGAGAAAAACTGAAAAAGACTAAAGCCTCTGAGACTGCAGGTACCTGAGGCGAAGCTGCTGCAGCTCCTGAAGTTCTCCGAGTGCTCCGGGTAAACTGTTCAGCTGGTTGTCATGAAGCTACAGAGAAAATAAATGAAGATTTTCACTCACAGCTTGTTTCAAGTTTAGTAAATCAAAGCGAGTTAAACTCAAAGAATGAAAATCTAGAAGGAAGATTATCAATAAAAGATAATAAATCTACAGGGAGCAAGTTTCTGCTGAGTGTAAGGACAATTTACAGTTTTGTTCAAAGCCGTCGACTTGTTGCATTGGTTTGATTATTGTCTTTTCATTTTATACTACATTTTTGTCTGTTGCTGAAAAAGAAGTCCCAGGCTGGAATGAATAAAATACATCCATCCATTTAAATTTGGACAAAAAGTAAAAATAATAATAATAAGTGTTTGGTTGATTATTACCTAAATATAACAACGCTTCTTAGCAATAAAAGTTACATCGTTGGAAAGCCCCTTTAAATGATGCCACATTTGTAAAGAAAATTTGCCAAACAGCTCATTCTGACTCGGCCCAGACTCCCTACATGTACTACTTACATCTAGAGTAGTGAGTCCAGGTAACAGTCTGATGTCATCAGACAGACATTTCAGCTGATTGGACGACAGCAACAGTTTAGTGAGGTCCGTCTGTTCCCACCAGCGATCCGATCCCCCAAAGGAAACATCTTGCTGGGCTTCCTCTGGCGCGTCCGTGTTGAGACGATAAACACTCTGAGGGACTGAAACACATTTTAATGTCAAGTGAGAAACACAGACTCTTATAGACAGGTTAACCTGGCTAAAGCTCCCCCTGTGCCAACCATAAACCAAACATGTATCCATTAGTTTGCTCAAAAAAGTATGTTTTTAATCCTGTTAGTTTTATTTTGGTTTCAAATAAAGTGATGCTCACAACCCAAATGTCTGAACACATTTAAAATAAGCTGCAAGACTCCCAAACTTATCTGTTAAAATATAATGATAAAAACAAAGATACCAGAACTACCGGTACGTCTATACCTGTAACTTTATTTGGTGGGTTTGCTAATGTTAATATGACTATCATTGGAAGTAGGGGTGCACCGATCTGAAAATTTCAGCCAATATCGATATCTGATATTATTAGTGTTATGGCTGATAACATCCTTAATTTGAGTTGAACTGAATTAATTGTAGGTGTCTATCCTTACACCCACCACCCAAAGATAAACATGATTTCACTCTTTTTATTAATTTATCTAATAAGTTTGTTATTTCAAGCCTAAAAGCTCATTTGACACCATGTGTGAGAGTGGGCGGGGCTTAACGCCTGACATCTCTAAACTGCGCAGACTCTTGTCCCATAAATCCAACATGGCCGCTTCCATAACCTGGGTCCTGTTGGCTTCAACTGTCAACAAACAGAAAAGGCGGTAAACCTTACTTTAGACATTTGTGTTGGCATAGATCCGCACTTCTGGGGAATCCCTCATAATCAAACAAACCTTCTCAGATAACGTAATGAATGAAGGTTAACCGGTGAAACCGTGAAACTTACCTTCTGTCAGCCCCCGGCCGGACAGGTTGAGCTGGCCGCTTTTCCTGGCTGCCTTCAGCAAACCGGAAGGGACAGTCGGTTCGGTCTTCTCCGTCCGAAAGCCCGCCAGACTGTCCACTTTATCCGTCTTCCTAAACCTGGACATTGTCTTTATTAGAGTAATGAAATCAAATGTTGCGCCACCAAGCTACCAGCTTTGACATCCACAGCCAGTAGTTACCGCGAGGGAAGTTTCTTTTCCGGTCAGGACCCTTCAGAATAAAAGCCAACACATATGGATACTCTGTGCAATAATCTATCCGCTCTTTTTGCTAAATCAGCGTCGTTTGTTAAGACTAAAAACCGTATAAAAGTATATTTTCTGTAGAGTTGTGAGATGATCATCCCCTGAGTTTTTGTTCACTCTGCAACAATAACACACACACACACACACACACACACACACACACACACACACACACACACACACACACA